CTCTTATTCGGTGAATTAGGAAACATGTATATTGTCAAATTAAATTTTGTTGCACATGATAAAAGTTACTAAACAAACTTGAAAATATCGATGTTAAAAACCTGGATGGTTTTTAGTCGATGTATTATTAACATCGAAGTTTTAATTTTGAACAACCATATTTGTTAAAGTCGAAGTTTTGTTATTGATGTCGCATTCCTCGTCCACATTACGCTCAAAGCGTGCTATCGTTGACTAATGATGTATTTAAACAAAGACGGAAAACGTTGTGCGAGTTCTGGGTGGTGATGAAGGTGAGTTTGCAAACCACTTGTCAGAAAGAAGGTCAGAAACAGGGGCAGGGACCGAACGAAGAATTGTTTTATTTTCAACGATTCATGACGCTCCGTTTGATTGTTAGCGATTCCGAGCACGTCAACTACTAGGGTCGTTAGTTCTTGCCCCAGCCGCGCGAGCCCCAGCGCTCGGCCGCCAGGCGCACGCACCAGTTGGCGTCGTCCAGGGCGAAGGGCCAGCGCCAGGGCCCCCAGACATTGGGCGCCGAACAGCCGCGGTGACAACATCGCTCGCTCCGGCCTAGTCAGCGCAGGTACTCAACACGATCACTAAGTGTATTACAGTGAAGTAATCGTTGTGTAGTGAAGTGAAGTACAATCTGCTAATATACAGTGAGCCATAAACCAACAGTCGCTTATCAGTTATTATTAACGGTGAGCCCCATTCAGCATGCTGTGACCTAGGTCACAGCATTGCAGGAGCCAAGGCAACTCCATACGACCGCGAGTGTCTCATGGAGCCAGAAGTCTAGCAGTCCAGAAATTCGACATCATCTCGTATTCGGAGCCATCTCGAGCGACCAAACCCCGCAGTTTGCCTCAAATATGCCGAATGGACAGTTTGCAATTGTTCAAGGTGCCGTTTGCAGCTCGCAACAGCTCACCGGAGCCGGAAACCTCCAGTTAGTGAAGTACAATCTGCTAATGTACAGTGCGCCATAAACAAAAAGTCGCCTATCGGTTATTATTAACCTTGAGTTCCATTCAGCCAGCTGTGACCTACGTCACAGCATTGCAGGAGCCATGGCATCTCCATATGGCCGCGAGTGTCCCAATGCGACAGTACCTAAGCCAGTCCAGAAATTAGACATTATCTCGTATTCGGAGCGATCTCGAGCAACCAAACCCCCACAGTTTTGCCTCAATATGCCAAATGGGCAGTTTTGCAATTGTTCAAGGTGCCGATTTGCAGCTGGCAACAGCCTCACCGGAGCCAGAAACCTCCAGGTCAGTACTCTTGCTCAGCAAAAGACGCAGCTAGCGGCGAAGCAGCCATTTCGACAATAACAGTGAGTCGCTACAAATTACTACAGAGTCCTAAAAGAACCCATAACTCAGTAGAAAAAGACCTCCTTCTAAATAGAAAAATTAACCACTTTCAGATTCAACTCAGTATAATATACAAGTGGGAAACATATTTGCAGAGCTAGAGAAGCTATCAGATCAAGACAAAGATTCAGTTTGCCTTCGCCCAAGAAGGCGAAAATCTAAGAATCACTCCCATTTTTGTAAATAATATACATTACATATCGGAATACCACGAAAAGATTAAAAACAAATAAACCAGCTATTTACAACAGATATTAATACGTAAAGAATTAAAATAATGTTTTAAATCAATAGCAGACTTCAGAACAGCCATAATAACCTTATTGAACAAAAGACAATTTCACACCTAGACCTTGCAATTAAAAAATTTTTCTGTCGTCTTCAAAACTACTCACCCAACAAATACACCGAGATGAAATAACCGAAAACACTTAAGCACAAATTCCGTCATCATCAGTGAACAAGGGTAATATAAAAATAACGTGCCCATTCCAAGTATTGCAGCAGAATTCAACGTAGTCAAAGTATCGAACAGTGCTACAAATTAATCAGATCTGTAACATTAGTGTTAAACCGAAAGAAGAAGGAAACCAAATGTCTCAGTTCAGTGTATGCGGTGCTTGGACTTCGGACAAGGAAAAATTAATTCTAACAATTCATCGCGTGCATTTTCTGGGCACAATATCTTTATTCTGTTAATTCCTTCAAAAGACTTACCTACAATTTGTAAAAGTTTCAATGGAGAGCACAGAGCTGATTTAAGATCAATACAATGCAATATTATAAAAATATAAATGACTCCTCTCAAAAAACCAAATCAGGCAATAATAATAATAGCTAAGAAACAACCTCTCCAAGACTTACCTTACAAAAACTTCCCTTTCTCCCCACATCTAACATAATCCAAATTTAACATTGGCTCCAAACCCTTCCTTAAAATACAAAATCTACTAACTACCAATAACCCATTCACACAACCTCCATTTATAATAATTCTAATTAATAATTTTAATTCATTCCATTATTAACCATTACCTTACTTCTTTAGTCCAATATTATTAATTAATATCACTCCAAAAATCTCAGCAATTTTTACCAGCATCTCTCTCAGCCTATTTAAAAACATAATCAACAGGGCACCAAAAAATAATTATATCTGCTAAACTGGGAATGCGAATGGATCAACAATAAAAAATTAGAATAACTTATTTTCTAAAGATAACAAAATCAACTAGTTGCATACGCGAAACACGCATTTAAAATCAGACGTAAATTCAGCACAAACTGGTAAATTTAACATACCAATACTGCAAGACACAAACTCAGCAAGTAATTAGAAACGCCTCAAACCTTCAGGTAATTACTCCAGCCACGGCCCACTCACTAACCACAGATCATAATAAACACTCATATATATTAGATATACTCAGATAACTAGATATTGTGCAGATTCCTAAACTCAAACCATTTTCATCGCGCTCTTTCTTTGAACTAGATCAGATCTCTGCCAATAGGATCTCAACTTATCCATCACCCCCTCACACTCCAATTCTCACAACTAACAACAAACATCCACTGGGGAAAAAAATTTTTAAGAACATATATTAAAAACAATCACCCACTTTAAAAATATAAAAAACTCACGTAGAAATGTAACTTTCAACAATATGATATTTAACACAACAACTCTTAATAATATGATCGCTGCACCAAAAACCATTAATCATTTCCATAAAAATTCGTAGAAATATCAATACTAATAACATCATATTCGTACACTAATTGTGGTCTCAAACAACATTGACTCAAACCGTGGAACCGGATTTTATTCTTTTTCTTCAACAGTGTGAATATACATAGGTGTAAAATATTAAAATAATCTCCTCAAGTTCATCTCAAGGCAGTATGCCAAAAATTGTAAGACAATTAATAGTTTTGGATGAATATTAATTAAATATTTGATTGCATAAAAGAAAAAATCCTTATAAAAGGAAGTTTTTTATTTTGATAATAGCAGGATCCGAGTGCATGTGATGATGAGTAATTGTAAGTGTGGAATAAGGTCATTTATATGCTTATATATTTAACGTGTTTTATATTAATAACTTATGGTTTTGTAAATCAAAGATGTAATATGAAAAGAATTTATATAAAAGGACAGTATTTATTGTTGCGCAATAAAGTAAATTGATATTAAGCGTTTATATAACCGAAAATAATTAGAAGATCTTAGTTGTTGTAATATCCTTGTAAGTGTAGTTACACATAAATAGAATTTTGATATTTTCTATTAAATTCATCGTCTTTATTAATAATAATTAAATTTAAAAGTAGTAGTTTTAATAACGAGTGGAACGTGAGGTGTTGGGAAGTGTAGTGCAATAGAGACAATAGAAAAAGATGTGAAATGCACGTCTGGTGAAAGAAGTCAAGTTGCAGTTGTATCTTAATTAGTTATATATCAATATAGAAAATAATGCTATTATGGTTATTGTTGCGTTCATTGTTATCATGTTATTATTTTAATATTATGCATTTTCTTAAATAATTTAAAGTAAAATTGTAATAATACTGTATAATTTTAATAGCAAATTGTAGTGTTTCTGTTCACCAATATTGTATAAAACATACCTGTGAATAATAGAATCTATCCTGCCAATAATTAATATATATTTCATTGGTATAAACAATGTATGAAGCCGCTTATCTCGGGCGAAAGCGGTGATTTTGGGCGATGAATAAAGAAAAAGTTGTACCGAACCCTGAGATAAATGGTAATATAGCGAGCACGGGTTAAAGAGCATTGGTTTAAAGTAATATAAAAAACCAGCTAATCCATTATAAATTCGAAGTGATTAATCAGAGCATAACATCATCAACACACAACATATGTGTATGTATATATAATATATATATATATATATATAATATATATATATAATATATATACACATACATATACATATATAACTGTAGTGCTTTTTCTTTTCTCAGGAAGTGGTGGTTTATAACCACCGCTGAATGGCTAGATCTGGCGCGCAGCAGATGTAAGCTAGCGTGGGTGTCTCAACCAGGAATCTCAAATCAATGTGGGCCCGCCGCTGGGACTAACTCAAAGCTCCCAACTGCATCTCTGGCACATGAGAAAGAATTGTACATTTGTAGTGTTGTAAAAGTGTGTATATAAGGGGTGAGGAGAATGTGTCAACGAAGAGGAAGGAAAGATCGCGCGAAGGAAAGAATGAACGAATATTATTTCTAGTCAGTGTAAATGGATGACCGCGGCGTCTCGTAGCAAAGACCTAATACCAAACTACTTCCTCCAGTTGGAAGAACAGCGAACCTGCCCTGACAAAGGGAGGGGGGATGGCGCCTGCACGGCCGTGCTCTGTCGGAGGGCGGGTGGGAGAGTGGGAGGCGCCCTGAAGGTCGGCGGCAGGGGAGTGGAGGTGCGCTGCCTGGACGGTGAAGCCGTGACGGTGGGTGGGAGAGGCGATGGCGGAGCGATGCCTGCATGGTGGGAAAGCGAGCGGATGATGAAGAGGAAACACCTTGAGCGCGGTTAAATACGCGCGCCGGCGCCGCGAGCCCCCAGTCACCGCCGCCGCCATCGCCATGCAGGGGCCGCGAGACGACCCGGAGCCCAAGATGGTGAACGTGTTCGAGGTGCTGAAGCAGGCGGCCGCGGGAGCCGCCTTCTGGAACGATTCGTCCGTCGCCGCGTGCGCCGGGGACATCCGCCGAGTGATGGACGGAGCTCTGGCGCGCAAGCGCTGGGCTCTCATGAGTGAGTGCATGCGAAGGCCTGCTCTGGCTTTACGGGGCGCACTTCACATGCAGTTTGTGGTCCCTTAATTGAAATCAAGCGCTGGGCTCTCATGAGTGAGTGCATGTGAAGCGCTGCTCTGGCTGCACGGGGTTTCACACCCAGTTTGTGGTCCCTTGATTCAAATAAAGCGCTGGGCTCATCATGAGTGAGTGCATGCGAAGGCCTGCTCTGGCTTTACGGCGCGCCCTTCACATGCAGTTTCTGGTCCCTTGATTCAAATCAAGCGCTGGGCTCTCATGAATGAGTGCATGCGAAGGACTGCTCTGGCTTTACGGCGCGCCCTTCACATGCAGTTTCTGGTCCCTTGATTCAAATCAAGCGCCGGGCTCTCATGAATGAGTGCGTGCGAAAGCCTGCTCTGGATTCACGGGGCGCCCTTCACATGCAGTTTGTGGTCCCTTGATTCATATCTCTACACGTGGTTTGCGGTCCTTGATTCAAAGCAAACGCTGGCTCTCATGGGTGAGTGCATGCGAAGGCCTGCTCTGGCTTTGCGGGGCACCCTTCACATGCAGTTTGTGATCCCTAGATTCACATAAAGCGCTGCACTCTCATTAGTCAGTTCATGGAAAGACCTACTCTGGCTGCACTGGCCGCCCTTCACACCAAGTTTGCGGTCCCTTGAATCAAATCGCACAGGGCTCTTGTGAGTTAGTGCGCGCGAATGCCTGCGCAGGCTGCTTGGGACCCCCTTCACGTGCAGTTTGAGCTCCTTGATACAAATCATGCTCTCATTTAAAATTTTCTTTCCCAAAAAATGGAAAGGTGTCCTCCAATTGTTTAGAAACATTTGCGCCCGTGTTGCGCGTTCCATCGTTTTAAAAGAATCATCTACTTTTTTAATATTATACGAAAATTAATAATCAGTGTAGAATGTTTAATTGCACTTTGTGGTGTAAAAATCGAAAACTAGTTCGCCTCTCGCAGATTACGGAAACGCAGAGACTTAACACATTTTTGGCATCGATAATATCCAATTTAATATTATCAAATAAGCAATTTTCATAACACTTGCCACTAAAAGAGTGTTTGCGAAAAATTTGGGTAGTTATGCTCACTCAAGAGTGGTTGTGTAGTTTAAAAAAAAATAATTTCAATAATTTCCATCTCATTCTACTTACAGCTCACAACCACCAATTAAGACATTTTAAAATTATTGTCAGAATGAAAATATTCCTTTCTTCAAAAAAATGTATCCTAAGATAATCTAAATCGGTGCATACTCGTTCTGACGAAGTGGAATGAAATCTAAAATCCATGATGACTTCGAAATCGAAAGTTATTAGACTTTTTAAAATATTTAGATGTTTTTTTAGTATTTTATGCGTAAAATCTAATGAAGAATACGTAAAGTAACGCTACAATTTAAAAGCGCCAGATTTCAAATGAGCTATAACTTGTGATGCTCAATTTTTTGTTGAAAACATGCTAATATTGTCGTCTCGTTTCTGTTGTAATTTTTACTTTCCGGAATACGAAGGTATATACGGAGTTAAATACGTTGTACATGTAATGCTGCGGAATATAGATTTCGAGATATCAACAGAAATAATCGCTCTGGGGACGAATGATACCCAAAAAGTATTTTTTCAAATCGTCCGTCTTTCTGTCCGTCCGTTTGTCATTCTGTCCTTCCGTGGGATTTTTTCCAAATTGAAGTAATTCCTGTCCATCTAGTTTGAGTCAAATTTTCTAGATTTTGAAAAACATTCTTTGTAATTTGGGGGTAATTTACATGAAGCTCCTGGGACATTTTCTAAATTTCACAAAAACTGCTCCAACACTTTTCCTTAAATATCTTGTAAAAATATAGTAAAATGTTTTTATAAAGGCGGCATAAGTACGATTATTACGGTTTACTCTAAATTTTCAAAATTTGCAAAAACTTGAAAATATCAAAAATTTTGGACGGTTTCAGACAACTACAAAATTGTAGATAGAGATAAATGCTTCAATGAAAATTTGTTTTCTACATTAATTTAATTCATTAAGGTCATGTACAGTTCTCTGAAAATGTTAGTAATTTTCGCGCTAGCTTTAAAATTGCAATATTGTGTGCAATATTGTTTTTTTTTTTACTTGTCTCTCAAATCGTTGATATTCACATAAGCGGCGATTTGTTCACATTCTTGTATTTATTAGCGCATGTTCTTTCTCGAAACTTCAACGTTTTCAGTGAAAACTAGCACAAAATTACGCATTTCCAAATAAAAGCTCAAACGCCATTTTCCCAGAGAAGGCTACAATATTTTTTCAAACATTTCGAACGGTTAGTGCTATTTGCACTCTTTAAAATGACGTTAAGTTTCTTGTGGATTATTTTTTTGTTTTTTTATGTGCAAAAATTACACAAATGTAATGTAATGAAGCACCAAACAGCGCATGACAGAGTGTTTGCGCGCGCATGCGCAGTGGTGGACGCGACGGCGAAGCTCCCGGAGCCGCTGCTGGGCGGCCTCACCTTGCACCTGGGCGACTACGACCAGTGCCTGCGCGCCCGCTCCCAGGCGTTCGCGGGCCGCTACTGCCTGGCGGCCGCCATGGGCCAGCGCATCGCCACGTGCGTGCCTTCCACGTGCACGTGGCGCTCGCTGGACGCGCTGCTGGCCAACGGCAGCGCCGGCGTGGTGCGCGTGCCCGCCCACACGTGCCAGGCCGCCGCCGACCCCTTCGCCTTCCACCCAGCCCTCGTCGCCTTCGGGTGAGCCAACTCACTACTTCGCTCTAGATGAGTAACAGGCTTTGCTTGCGAATTGCCTTAGCACTAATCATTTACTGAACAGAATAGCATGCCCAGCCGCTCCGCCAGCCATGTGCACTTACATTTGACAACATGTTAATAAACCACAATTTATGTATAATGTTTCTCGCCTACTTTGTATGTGCATTGTAAACAGAAAGAATTGCAAACAGAAGCAAAATAGGCACTATTTTTCGTCAGAAAATTCGTATTGCGAGTTCCTGCAACTGAAAAAGTGGAGACTTTTTGCAGATTTTCTTTATTATTGCACTTCCCTAATGTGCTGAGTAGTCAGAAATTATATTTCGTTCATCGTTGATATCTAAACATAGAGATACAGCAAAACGTCTGTCTCGGTTGGCCTGTTTTTCGGGCCGCGTCGATCCGTCCCTTCGACCATGTCATCACGGCCTAAACTGTTCAGAATACTTTCTTCCACACTGATATTCCCAGATCTATCTGTCCAAACTTGAGGCATTTACTAACTCGAAAACGATAGCTTGATTTTTCTTTAACAACGCCGGTCTCATAATCGTTGATTTCACTTCAACGCCTGTGACCGAGAGATATTAAGATTCGAACCCCTACAATGGAAGGATTTACGACACTGCCCTAATAGCTGAGTCGAATTCACCCGCTGTCTGGGGAGGAGGATTGCAACTACCGCATGCACGCACCCTTCGAGACCCAACGAGAAAGCAAACCAGCAGGAACGATAATAAAATGTGTTTCCTCCTGCTGAAATCGTTACTATCCTGTAATTGATGCTAGGTCACAGAAACGATTTGGTGTTATCACTGAGAACAATAAATGCAATGGTTCTACACCTTTTGAGGCATATACAAGTGAGGAATTCTCACTTCCGTAAGAAGGGTAACCATAAAAGTTTTAGGGGGCGTCAGGAAATAAGAAAATACAATTTCATGCAAACACTTTATTGTAGTAGTTACAGTACATCTTGCATTTTTCATCTCGCATATTGACAATCGGAATTCAACCATTTTTCTTACCGTGAGAAAAAAAAAGCTCTGTATCTGTGTCCTACAAGTCCCTGGCTTGTGATAGGTACCATTGTTTTCCAAGAAAACGAGACTCTGCGATGCTATGATGTGCTCAACGCTGGCTGAGAAGCAATATTTCATGTGTGAGAACAGATAGGAATCGCTAGAGACGGGATACGCACCACCGGGTGGATAGTCAAGAACTTGTGAGCAAACAAATGTTTATCCCACGGTATTACCATGTTTCAATACTGATGATCATTATGTAGAAATCTCGTGTAACACGTTCTACAACTTATACAATAATGTCGAAATAGTAAATTGTTTTTACTTTGTTATTGGTTCAAGGAAAATGTGTTAATTAGCTCTTTAAATGTTGAGAAATACCCACCAATGAACATGTCATCTAAACGATATACGTTTTGCAAAGTTTTCCTGATTTTAATTATTTCCTGCTTATTTCTTTTAATAGAATTCTAGAATTTGCCAGAGTAGGTGTAACGGCAAGCGCTTAACGCTCTCAAACAAATGTGATGATGTAATTGAAAAGCTCAATGCAGTAATATAAAAGCTTCACTTATAGCTCACTATACAAACACTTTTTCAGTAATATTTTGCAATTTCGATGCTGCAAAAGTATATTCAAAAAATGATACAAGATAAAGTAAAATAATAATAAAAATATTATTAATAACAATGAATATAAGAAGAAGTCCGGTTTCAAATCAATTTTTTTCTCACCTGTAAAGTTATTTTTTGTTATTAAAGGTTGCGTCAACTTCCAAGTAATTAACGACCACTATTGCTTGTAACGTTTTAGAAACTGTGAAGATGACACGATATAATGATGAAAGGGGGTGGTGAGGGGGTGAAAGGACGAATACAATACAACCATGCCCCTGGCGGAACTCAAACTTGCGATCCTTTGGTCTCAGGTCGCAACGGCAGTACTGCCAGTGATCTCGGACACCGGATTGGCCCATGTATATTTGTGGAATGTAAGAAGTACCGTTTCTGCATACGAGTAGAACGCTTCAATTATAACACCTATGACAGTTTTGACATCACTAATCATACATACAAGTTCCAAGAATTTTTGGTAGTATGTTCTTTTCTTCGTTTGTACAGGGAATTTCTTAAAAAATGCTACTCGCAAATGCAACCTTAAATGCATTCTTAAATTTGATTTTTGATATCCATGAATTCACCTCATTAAGCAATTTTACACATAGGATGCTAACTGTCGATGCAGTGAAAGCTATTCGGTCACTTTTGCAATCACTTAGTTTCGTATAAGTTGAATTGAGGCGTGCGGCTGTGCGCGTTGTTGATGGTGTTGGCCGTGTTGAACGACCTTGGCTGGTTCCTACTGACGTACAATGTTAGGTCAAAACATTAGGTGCATTTTTCTGGCTGTTGAATGGGGTGCTTGAGTGGAAGTCGGCCGTGTGCCTGTGCAGGGTGGTAGTGCTGCTGGCTGTGCTGTACGCCCTGGGCTGGTTCCTGCTGACGTACAATGTTCGTTAAGTTATTTTACTGACTATTACATAGTGTGCTTGAGTTGACGTGGGGCGTGTGCTTGTACAGGGTGGTGGTGCTGCTGGCCGTGCTCAACGCCCTGGGCTGGTTCCTGCTGACGTACAGTGTTAGTTAAGTTATTTTACTGACTATTACATAGTGTGCTTGATTTGAAGTGGGGCGTGTGCTTGTGCAGGTTGGTAGTGCTGCTGGCTGTGCTGAACGCCCTGGGCTGGTTCCTGCTGACGTACGAGGGCGTGCGGCGGAGGCTGCCCGTGGGTTGGCAGCCCTCGCCCCAGACGGCCATCGCCATGTCACCGCCTGGAGGAAGATAATCGAGTTGCCCGAACCCCGCCCCTGCCCCAAAAGTCACTCTCCAGGAACAGGGGGTTCTGGAGGTGGAGATAATGCGAGGAATGGGGATGGTTCTGGGGCCTCGGGCGAGGAACAAGGCGTGAAGGTAAGGAGACCACAGTATTACTAACAAATTTCACTGCAAGGCTTGAATTGTGCTATTGTCGACAAGTAATGGTCGACAAGTAATGGTCGACAAGTAATGGTCGACAAGTAATGGTCGACAAGTAATGTGACGTTGCAGAGAAAAAAAAATTCCGAATGAAAATTTTATTTGAGAGGCTCTGAGATTTAGAACTAGGGGAACACCTATCGCGTCGTCCTACTCGCGTTCGCGCGGCAACCAACAACATATCATTCACGCGGTTCTGCCAATAGACTTAAACGTTCATAACTCCTACATTTCGGAGAACTTCCCAAACTACTTCTGGAATGTTATGCATCTGCGTTTATTGGCTTTCCAGCGGGCGGGGCTCCGATAGCCACATTCTTACGGCTTGAGTCTGAGCCCTAATTAATAGGCCTCAGAGCTTCCGCGCCCCAAGACTTCGCGCCTTCTTCTAGCGAGGGCCAGTTGCAATACGATACCATACGCAATTACATTATTAAAAATGAAGACGTTCAAGGAGAATTACAACTTTTATTACGAACACGTTTAAAACTAATTAAAATATTTAATGCCAAATAAAGTTATGATCATGTACTAAGTGAATCAAGAACGTAGCCGAAAACGGAACGAATTTTGTTTATTTTAACCCTACCCAGCCTCCTTTGGTCCTACTGCGTTTATTAGATGTGATTTGTGCCTTGTGTGCAGTGCGTGGGCGCGAAGGACCCCGGTGACTTTAGCTGGGCGCTTTCGCGTATGTCGGCGCTTGGCGGGTTGCGCTCTCTGTCCATGGTGAGTGTGGTGATCACCCACCGGGAGGGACTGATGCTGAATCTACCGTTGCTGAACAAGCGGGAGCTGCCGCAGCGGCTGCAAGGGTGGCTGCATGTTTACTTCCCGCTCGGCTCCCTTGGGATCGACACCTTCCTCTTTGTGGCCGGGTTCGTGCTGGCCTACTCGTTTGCCTGCACCCGCCGCCGCCAGCCGCGCTCTCTCAGCCAGCTGCGCTCCTGGCTTCCAACTTCTATTTGCACAGATACATCCGGTACGCACATCATTTGAAGTGCTTTAAGCGAGTTGTTGGATTTCTGTGATCCCTTTGAAAAGCATGATAATGGCCTAATCGGGGAAACAAAATGTCGTTGAGTCAAAAAGTACACCTATCAAAATCGTTCATGTGAATGGGTTGATCAGTGACTCACCTGGGGGAAACTTTCTACCTCGTGAGTTAAATCGTCTCTTCACTCAAAAATTCGACATTATTTTATCCAGTTCATGTAAACTATTGAGAAATGTCACGGACTGAACATGAAAAATACGTAATTTTCTCTGTTTTGAAAACCAATTTGATAGCGATATAAATATATTTAACAACTAACTGATGATTCAACGTTGTCAAGCTTTGCCCTCTCCGAACAGACATGAACTCCTCGCCTTCAATTCCCAGCCCCTTTACCACCCAAGCAGCCACTTGCCTTATACCTGGCCTGCCATGTTAGTTTTGGTTTCATCTCCCTCACCCTCACCCAGCCTCTTATCTGGTTAGCGATGTTATTCGTGCCTTCAACTCCCGCCTTCCCACAAGCCCCTTCCGCACTATCTGGCCTGCCTGGTTTGCTGCACTTTCACTTCACCTCAGTACGCTGGGCCTCCCTCCTTTGTTTCTTCATCTCCCCTCTCTCTTTTCACTTATTCTGAATCGCCAGTTCCTTGCTGAACTTCCTCTCTTACTTCTCGTTTCTGTCCTCTCGTTCCCTGGTCGCTCCCTTCTGGACGTGTATGGCCACGCCCAGCAACAATGAAGCACAGATGGCATTCATTTTTATTTTGTTACGTCTATAGAGACGCAACACATTTCCTAGCTCCTTAAAGAGCATTGAGAGCACTTAAGAGAAATCCTCCGTTTATATTTTCAATTTGGAGTAATCCTCAATTACAAGCGCCCTCTAGAGGCCGCTGAGTAATCGTAGTCACGTTACTAATAATGTGGCTTTTTTCCGGGGCAATAAATCACAGACGTGAACGGTTTGTAATTTAATGAGTAATTATTTGAAATATGCTCCAACATCTGAATACTATGTACAATAATTACAAAAATCAATATTGAGCCGTTACTAGAAGGAATGTTCCTGGTCACCACCACCGCTGGCCTGATAATTTGAAATCTTACTCGATGTGATGCACAAGTAGCGTACGTGTGCATACAAGCGAGTATGCCGCACCTTCCGTCTCGACGTAGCACGCCGGCTTCATTTCCCTGCCTCAGTAGCCTATGCATTGAAATGCAGCCGCGCCTAAGAATCAGAAGAAGGAGTTTAGGTCCGGAGTCCGTTTATATTACCTTCTGGGCCGGCTGACGGAAATGCGTCATCTCGCTGTTTCCGCCGACGCGTTTCCACAGCCAGCCTGTCTACGGGGTGCACAAGTTTGCCCCAAGAGGTCTACGGGGTTCACAAGTGGCCACCCACGACACGGCACTTAATTTCAATGTTGCAGGTCACCCGTTTAAGCAAGGCCTTCCCGTAAACATGCATTTAATAGTTTTCTTTCCATGTCTCTCAAGAAATGAAATGAACGTTTCCGTTATAGATTGACACCGCTTATGGCATTTGTAATATTGCTGTACACCGGTGGACTTCCGTTTTTTGGGGATGGCCCTCTGTGGGATGAGCTCTCATCGGCTGATGTCAACCCATGCCGAGCAAGCTGGTGGCGGAACATTCTTTACATTCACAATTACCGCACCAATTTAAGCAACATGGTAAGCACAAAGTTTGAAATTTAAATAGCAACGTAAGATAACAATTATTTTTTCGTTATTCTCTGTGAATTGACAAATTATCATTCCTTCCCTCAGTGCCTCTGGCATTCCTGGTACCTGGCGGTTGACATGCAACTTTACCTAATCTCACCGCTTCTCTTGTTTCCTTTGGTTGACCACTGGAACACGAGAAAATTCAGTTTTGGACGCTTGGTGTTTGCTTTCTTCTTAATTCTGTCTATTGCGATTCCGTTCGCAATTGTTGCGGGGCACAATCTCACACCCACATATAACCCATTTGTCAAGTAAGTATATAAAACAAATAATGTTTGAGAATAAAGAAAATTTTGTACTTGGTGAATTAAAGAGTTCAAGAGGATAATTATATTTTCTTGTTTGGAAAACAAGGTAGCAAAAAATGTATATTCTCTTGGATTCTTACAATCATAGTTCCTTAATATGCTGAAAAATTTAGCAGTTCCCCGATTGAAATGTATAGGAAATTGTATTTACGTATTATGTATATTAAGGACTATTAAAAAAGTTAAATAGAAATTTGTTAGATTACGTAATCCACATGTTTTTTACAAAATGGAAGGCGCAATTCTAAACTGTATCTTTGATTGTGGTTCCAAGGATATTATATTTTCAGGAAATGTAAGGCACATTGATATATAAAAACAAATATATTCGTTTTTGTTTAGGAAGCAAGTAATTTTCTTAGTTTTACTCTCTTTTTTTTAATGCAATCCCAATATGTGCCCCTTCAAGCTAATAATGAATACAAATTTTTTTATCAGACTGTGCCATCGCCTGAAGAATATATTATTCGGCGGTGATATATTGTTCTAAAAGTATGTTTTAGAATATGTCATCGTTAAAATATATACTTGCCTAATTTGATTTTCGGATCGGATCAGATCAGATATGTACTCGTACTAATTTTGATAACTTGTCGAAAAGTACAAAACTATTTTGGTCGGCCAATTTCGTCTTTGGTACTGATCCGTATCATTTCCTTGGGTTTTGGCACAATAGCTGGCAATGCGCTTTATTAGTTTTGATTCGGTTTTATCGTCAGAAATATTTCACACGCACTAATAAATCGACAAACGTCTCTTTCAGTATTTTGCAGTAGCAATGTTCTATTAAAATTCTTGCAATCTTCGCTCCTCCAAAATTTTAATAATATGTTGATATTATCAATTTTCCGACCTTCTTCCCGTTTCCATATTCTACTAATCATCCTTATCACCTTGTCATCGTGTATTCCAACACCTCGGATTGCGAACACATCCTCATGTACTTCGATAGTGTCATTTTTTTTGTACCTCGCGAGTATACTAAACTCGTTGCTGCATGTTAACTACATATCCCCCCCCCCCGACGATTCTTTTTCTTTCTTTTAGATTCTTTCTCTAAATCCAAAATCTAGTAATACATTTTAGACATTAATCCGGTAATACGTCTCTTCTCTTTCAATTTTTACTCGAGGCAAATAATCTGGTAATTGGTTTTTCAACCCCTCACAATATTCGTAGTCAAAATCAAACTGTTCCAACCATAAAGCCCATCGTTACAGCCCCTCGCCCTTTGCGTGGCTTCTCATTAACAAAATCAACTCTTCATGTATGTAGTTGATGACCGTAATGATAGTAAGCGGGAGCCTCCTCAATAGGATTCAAGTTAGTGCAAACCATCGAAAAAACCTCCAATTCTGTGGCCCTAATTTCGGTCCAAAGTTCGGTTGCCCAAAGAAACATCTCGTTGTGGGATCCATACTCTTTTTGTAATTTGTTACAAATCAAATTGGCACATTGGCACGCAAATTCACTGCTGTCCGTTTGCAGGAATATCCGATGATGAAGATGCGGATATCGTGCAACATACATATCTTAAAATGATCTTAGAAGTTACGCTTTACAAATCTCGCGTAATGATTACACATTCCAAACAAGCGCGCCAGTCCACGGATGTTTCTCGATGGAAATGGATAGTTTCGTAGTAATTGACGTTTGCTCTCTTGAATAGAAATGCCTTTTCCCCACATTAGAGTCCCATAAACTATACTGTCGTTGAATAGAATTTGTTTTTCGGTGTTCTATTTCAAATTATTGGTTCTAAAAGTGCTGAACAACTCAAATCTTGGCCAATCCCTTTAAACCACGTGAACATAAAACGAAATCATGTACATAAATGGGCATGGTTTTCTTCAGCTCCCTAGAAATCACATCATCCTAACACCGCATTAATGCTTCTCCTAAAATTTTTAATCGAAACGGTGGCTTAACTATTAAATAAATACTTGAAACTAACGTATATCCCACAAATTGATTCAAACTCATTTGTCACTACACCAATAAAAAACCAATTGCATGAAATATTTTGTCATTTCATTCAAAAACCATTTTTCCATTCAAAAATCTTTTTTTGAAAAAAAAGAGTAGTTTTACCGTAATAATCTTCTTAAAGTTAATGCAAATAATAAAAAGTTCTGAAACCCAGTCCAAAAGTTTTCTTATTGTTTCTCTGGTATTGAGCAAAGGACGCTTAACAGAATGCTGCACGTTTAGTAATCGTTGAAGTCTCTGGATTATCGGAAATCGCAAAGTCAGAAATTATGCGAGAAATTATGTGTCACAGCACCGCTAGATAACTTGTAGTAACAGCTTGATGAGCAAGCAGTATGGTGTTTGTGTCTGCAGCCCGGCGAAGAACCAGGCTCACGAGGAGTTGGTGTACATCCCGGCGCACGACCGTCGATTGTGCATTGTTGGTTCCGCGCGTGTCCACTGGTGATCGCCTGGACGCGGGGTGCAGCAGGTAGAAATACGGCGAACGGAGGAGGCGGGCGAGCACACGCCAGGCGCGCCCCCACGACAGCAGCGCGGTTGAGGCGCGGGGCGCGCCGCGGGCTGCATCAGCAGCGAAACTACGGCGCCCGACTGCCGCAGCGCCCACAAGGGGGCTTTGTGGCAGAGGCGCCACGAGAGGCGCGAGAGCCTGCCAGCGGGAGTAGTTTGGTCGCCCGACTCGCAAAGCGCCGCGTCATGAGCGCACAGCGGGAGCCCAGCAACAACTTTTAGCACCGCATCGCCAGCAGGGCGCGCTTCCTGCATTGGCGTTGAGCGCCTGCCGCCCGCCCACACACGCGCCGGCCCACGCGCCCTACGCCATCCCCACCACCCACGGCGCACGCGCGCGTGCGCCGGATTACAGGCCAACTCTCGTGAGGCCTGGTTCTTCGCCGGGCTGCAGACCAACAAATCACCACTACTGGCTTG